GAGTTCAACATGTAAGAAGTAGAAAGTACAGGTATTTGAGTTCAACATGTAAGATGTAGAAAGTACAGGTATTTGAGTTCAACATGTAAGAAGTAGAAAGTACAGGTATTTGTGTTCAACATATAAGAAGTAGAAAGTACAGGTATTTGTGTTCAACATGTGAGAAGTAGAAAGTACAGGTATTTGTGTTCAACATATAAGAAGTAGAAAGTACAGGTATTTGTGTTCAACGTGTAAGAAGTAGAAAGTACAGGTATTTGAGTTATAAGAAGTAGAAAGTACAGGTATTTGAGTTCAACATGAAAGAATGTAGAAAGTACAGGTATTTGAGTTCAACATGTAAGAAGTAGAAAGTACAGGTATTTGAGTTCAACATGTAAGAAGTAGAAAGTACAGGTATTTGAGTTCAACATGTAAGATGTAGAAAGTACAGGTATTTGAGTTCAACATGTAAGAAGTAGAAAGTACAGGTATTTGTTGTTCAACATGTAAGAAGTAGAAGTACAGGTATTTGGGTTCAAAATGTAAGAAGTAGAAAGTACAGGTATTTGTGTTCAACATAGTAAGAAGTAGAAAGTACAGGTATTGTGTTCAACATGTAAGAAGTAGAAAGTACAGGTATTTGTGTTCAACATGTAAGAAGTAGAAAGTACAGGTATTTGAGTTCAACATGTAAGAAGTAGAAAGTACAGGTATTTGTGTTCAACATGGAAGAAGTAGAAAGTACAGGTTTTGGTTCAACATGTAAGAAGTAGAAAGTACAGGTATTTGTGTTCAACATGTAAGAAGTAGAAAGTACAGGTTGTGTCGTTTTCAACAGTGTAAGCAGTAGAAAGTACAGGTATTGTGTTCAACATGTAAAGTACAGGTAGAAAGTAGAAAGTACAGGTAGTTTGGTTCAACATGTAAGAAGGTAGAAAGTACAGGTATTTGGGTTCAACATGTAAGAAGTAGAAAGACAGGTATTTGGTTCAACATGTAAGAGTAGAAAGTACAGGTATTTGTGTTCAACATGTAAGAAGTAGAAAGTACAGGTATTGTGTTCAACATGTAAGAAGTAGAAAGTACAGGTATTTGTGTTCAACATGTAAGAAGTAGAAAGTACAGGTATTTGTATTCAAAGTGTAAGAAGTCAAAGTAATAAGTCGTAAAAAATTAGTAGTGGAGTAAAGTACTGATACCGGAAACATGTACTTAAGTACAGTAACAAAGTATTTGTACTCCACTACTTCCCAGCTCTGATGAATTGCCTTGTGTTGAAAGGTGCTATAGAAATACATTTGCCTGCAAGATTAAACATGTGTTACCGTTTTGACGTTCCTCTCCTGCTTCAGCAGCGTGGTCTTCAGCTCGCAGCCGGTCGGACACAGCACCCCCTGGTGGACAGAAACATATCGGCTTGATTATCTTCATCTCGCGATCTACTTATTTCTATAAATACAATAGTTATCAACGTAATAAACCACATTCAATGTTGTCCTAATGTACATTATTTAATTGTATATTCTGTTCTTGTACATATCAAAAGTCAAAGTTAACTTTATTGTCAATCTTTCAGTTTTTGTGTACAGAGAGATCGAAATACCGTTTCCCACAATCCCGAATACAAAAACAAAGATATATAAAAAGATGTATATCCTATATATACACAATCAAATGACACATGTATACATATGCACACATTAAGACATGAATAAAAGCACAACAATCAATACAAAATAACAGTCACTTCAATATCTTTGAGAATGTACATTAGTACAAGATTGTCCATAGCAGCGTAAAAGGTGTCTGGTGCTGGATCTGAGTTTGTAACATATTCTATTTACATGTATATAGACTTCTTGCGCTATTTTTTGTATTTGTATTGTTGTATTTGATTATATATGTTGCATTGTTGGAGGAGCTCAGGTCAGAAGAATGTCATTGCCATTTCTACTCTGCTTTGTGCATATGACAATAAAACCTTTGAATTTGAATATATTCCTCCCTGGTTATCATGTGCTGGAGTTCTCCTACCATCTCCTCTGCCGCGTGAGTACACCCTCCTTCATCGGGCTGAACCTCCTTCTCCTGAACCGTCTGAGCTCCTGTCGGAGTCTTAGAGGGGCGGCCGCGATAACTGGGGCAAACACAAACAAACATGAGGTCTGATGTTACCCGAGTACAACTGTTTGTCAATGCACTAAGTGATGCCTGTCTTTGTTCCAGTAACTACATGTATCCCAGCTGTTTACACAGACACCACGGCAACTAAAGAGCTAAACAAATGATTTAAGGAAAAGTATCTTTGACGAGATAAAGAACTATTCCTGTCTTTGAAATATGGGACATGTCCATTGGTGTTGGGGTCAGGGGGTCACAGGTTCAAACCCCACTGCAGTCAGCATGTCGTTGTGTCCCTGAGACGCTTGACTCCAAAGTGCTCCTGTGGGGAGTGTCCTCAGTGCTGAGTCTGTGAGTCGCTTTGGATGAAAGCGTCTAACAAGTGACATGTGATGTGAGTCTCATAGACTTCTATAACATGTTGCAACCAGTGTCCCCTGCTGGACATTAGAGAGGATGCCCTTTACGGTTTTGTAACAATTACTAAACTTGAAACTTAAGTCTAAAAGAATATGAACTCTAAACACTTGTTCTCATACACTTCAATATAATGTCTTCTTCTTAGATAACATCGATCTTTACAGTCCTGTACATACTGTAGAGTGGAATACTTTTAAATTAAAAGATTGAAGTCTAAATGTACCTTCCTCCTCCGCTGATTGGGAGCGGGGCGTAGCGGTTGGGGGTGTACGTGTCGCGGCCTTTCGTTGTCGGGCGATGACCTCGAACATCTAAAGCGGTCTCTGGTGGAGTCTGCAGGTCAACAAGATAAACACATTAAAACATATACAACTCATAATTACTTTAACATTTGCAGCTTAATATTCTACTCACTGTCACGTTCTTCGTCGTCTTGGTGTCCTGAGGAAAGTAAAGGGAGAATATTGTGAATTGTTTTCAGTTTAAAAGTTGTTTGCCACTGTTGTTTAAAGGATGCATTGAATTCAGATTGACAGAGCACTTTGTAAATGAAATTGTAAAAATAAAGAGAAATATATTTCTGTTTTATTTCTTAAAATATTTAAGTCGATGTTGAATTCAATAAAGTGTTGTGCCCTTTACGTATATATTTATATTTATGCATGCTCATTTTGTTATATGTTAAACAAAAACAATAGAAATGATTTTAAAGTAATTAGATTAATGTACACAACTCAGATTTGTAAATGAATTACACATGCAAGCAGATTAAGATATAACATTTAATTAAGACACTTATTTTACACTATGACATTATGAAATAATAATTAAAAAGCACTATATTTGAATAATGTTGTTCTTACTTTTGATCAAACACACACACTTACCGTGTCATAGATGTCATAATCGGTATCCTGAGCCCTGGCAGCGGACACACACACACTCACACACACACACAGCAGCAGCAGCGTCCTCATCGTCGGCTGTCGATAAAGTTTTATTCTCAAACGCTCGTTAGTCTTCAGTGTGCTCTCTCTTCTTCTTCTGTACCCGAAATCTGCTGCACCGCGTATTTATCCCCCGTGTGTGTGTGTGTGTGTGTGTGTGTGTGTGTGTGTGTGTGTGTGTGTGTGTGTGTGTGTGTGTGTGTGTGTGTGTGTGTGTGTGTGTGTGTGTGTGTGTGTGTGTGTGTGTGTGTGTGTGTGTGTGTGTGTATTGATCTGCTAGATGTTGGTCAGTATGTGCAGGAACAGTTTGCATAACCTGAGTCACGGGAACAAAAGGGCATTCTGACTAAAGAGTTGACTGAAAACTGAAGAGGTTTCTGAGAGAAAACACACTTTATTTAGAAAGATAATTGGAGACAAATATATGAGACGTTTTAGATCGAGATAATAATAGATGAAAAAAAAGGGTCAAAATATTTAAAAAGTTACAAATGTCAAATAAAAAAGTCCCGTCTTTTAACAGCTGCAGTAATATTTTTTAATAATGTCAAAAAAAGTAATAATATTTAGAGGAACAAAATAGTAAAGTTTAACAGAAAAAACGAAATTTTAAAGAAATATTTTGAACATTTTTTGTAAAAGAAAGTCAAACATTTTAGGAGGAAAAAAATCGCAATAATTCCCCAAAAATATATAATATTAAGACAAAAAAGGATCAAATATTTTTGCCCAAAAAGTAAATTACATGTGATTTTTTATAGAGAAAAAGGTAATTTATAGATTTGTCTTTAAAGCTGTTTTTTGTCAGGTGAGTCACTTTCGGGAAATCAAGACGATTGAGCAACGGATGTTTGTTGGAGTCCAAAAGGAGACGTGGTGCAAATCCCTAAACACACAGACACTAACACACACACACACACACACACACACACACACACACACACACACACACACACACACACACACACACACACACCACACACACACACACACACACACACACACACACACACACACACGCACACACACACACACACACACACACACACCATGTATACATCACTTCAGGGGACATTACATGGATTTACATGCATTTCCTGGAGACTTATCCTAACCTTAACCATAACCAACACATGCCTAACCCTAACCCTAACCCTAACCCTAACCCTAACCCTAACCCTAACCCTTACCCTAACCCTAATCCTAACCCTAACCAAGTCTTCACCCTAAAATTAATGATCCCCCTCATGGGGACCTCCATTTTGTCCTCATAAGGGAGGCGAGTCCCCACACGTGACTGTGTAAACAGGTTTAGGTCCCCACAAGTATAGTAATGCTAGGACACACACACACACACACACACACACACACACACACACACACACACACACACACACACACACACACACACACACACACACACACACACACACACGTATCCTTATTTAAACCCTTGAGTTTAGGACAGAAATTAACCCAGAAACTCAAAATTCACTTTTTCATGCATTTATTCATAATTCCTGACAATTCTTCGAGTGTTAATATAAATGACGACATAAATGAACCTCTAGAAGCTTCTGAGCCTAATATTCATCTACAAAAACAAAAACGAGATGAATTTGAAGGAACAAACTACATGTTATCAGACCCTCTTTGCACAGAGGAAGGGCAGCTCCGACTCGCAGGAGGCGAAATCCCACTTCTTCTCATCTGAAACATAAACACAAATGAACTTTCATTTTCTCAAGATGGCTAAAAACTAATATAATAGTGAACAGTTTGCATTTATTAAGCTTGAATGTTAAAAGTACATATTGTGGTGATTTGTCAGGAATTTAAAGGCAGGTGAAGTATAGTTTAAACTCCTAAATAAACCCACTGCGACACATATGTGAGTTTAAAAGTGAACTTTAAATGCGTAATTTAGCAGAATCCTCAAAAGACAAATTGTGGGACTCAACCCCCTTCGCAGGAGTTTGACCGCAGCATTACTTTAATTGAATTGAATTGCAATAAACAGATCAAAACGATCCTGAAATATCACATTCAGAGTGAATCTTCACCATTGAGAACGCATAATAATGTACTTTTATTCACATCACTTCTTCTTGCTGATTTAATCTGCTGACGCTGCAAAAAGCAAATATAAACAGATTTGAATGTGATTTAATTAAACAGACCAAAAACATGCGTCACTCCATCATGAAACAGATTCAACAAACCGTCTGAATTTCTTGCTCTTTTTTTTTAGATGTCAAGCAAACAACTTCTAAAACGCTTGTTTCCTGAATGGAGTTTGGTCCAATCAGAGCTAAGCTAAAATTGTAGCGGCTAAATCTTAACGATGATGTTTTTCAAATTACACAAAAACACAAGATTGCATCGAAATAACTGGATTTTCAACGGGTTTAAATGTAGAAATTACTCTATTATTAAAGGTGTGTGTGTGTGTGTGTGTGTGTGTGTGTGTGTGTGTGTGTGTGTGTGTGTGTGTGTGTGTGTGTGTGTGTGTGTGTGTGTGTGTGTGTGTGTGTGTGTGTGTGCGTGTGTGTGTGTGTCTCACAGCCATTGTTCATCTGCAGACAGCGCTCACTGGTCCTCGTGTTGCTTTCCATGTTCCAGTTTTCATAAAGAAACCTGGAGCCGTCGCTCCACATCCAGAATAACACCTAGAAATACAAATAACATAATTACATAATTACATAAACACATTTATGATCAAGTACAAGTACGCTTTAAAGTACACGACCAAACCAAAACACTGTCATCTCACATTTAGTAGTTTTAGTCATACATCCTGTTTATTACCATTGATTATTAACAACAGATCAGCTGTGCATGTTTTGTGATTATATCGTAGAAAAAGTCGTACGTTGACACAGTTGTGGCCCCCGACCCAGGTGGGGGGGAAGTCGTGCGTTTCTGCGCGGGTCAGCGCCTGCAGGAAGTGGTTCTGCTCGGGACTCTGGACCGAGGCCAGGTTAGCGCCTTCGAACATGCAGTAGCTCTGCAGAGAGAAAACACGCTCTATAAAAGCTCAATGTTCAACAAAATAAAAGCTCAATGTTCAACAAAATAAAAGCTCAATGTTTAACAAAATAAAAGCTCAATGTTCAACAAAATAAAAGCTCAATGTTCAACAAAATAAAAGCTCAATGCTTAACAAAATAAAAGCTCAATGTTCAACAAAATAAAAGCTTCATGGTTTAACAAAATAAAAGTTTTCTTGTCGAACCTTGTTTTAACAAAATAAAAGCTCCATGTTTAACTAAATAAAACCTTAATGTTTAACAAAATAAAAGCTCCATGTTTACCTCCGCCTCAACCCAGGTTTTCGGGGAATCGATGAAGACGAAGCACAGCCGGCCGAATCGGGACCAGCCGAACGGGCAGTAGAACTCCCGGTCTGCAGAAATAACATATATACATATAACATGTTAAATATTTCACTCATTTAAAAACTGCAATCACTAGTTTTTACAACAACTCAAACTCAAAATGTATTTATGTGTGAATATGTCTTAAAGGGGGACCTATCATGCAAAAGTCACTTTGTGATGTCTTCTCTCCATCAACATGTGTCCCCGGTGTGTCAGGGAACTCACGCAGCGTCAGGAAATAAAACCCTCTCTCTTTTCCTCCGTACCCAAATCTCTAAAAACGGGGAACAACGGAGCTGATCCAGATTTGCGTCCGATATGACGTAATATCTGAAATGTGGACCCACGGGCCAATCAGAAACGTTGCTATCAGAAACAATGCCCGACTGTTTTGGACGTGATATGGTCGGTGTTTACATTAGCATCGCTAACACTCAGAGCTAACCTGTACTGGAGAGCATGTGTGTGAAGAAGCAGGAAGTAAAAAGGAACTCACCATAATCCATGATAATCCATGATATGGCGTTTCATCACGGCAGCATTTAGTCTAGACCGTAGCTGCCGGGTCCCGCATGAGCTCAGACCCTCCTCTTTTTTTTATTAAAGCTTTATACCCAAATCAGCACTTTTGAAACAGGAAGTAAAACAGAGGGATATGAGGCATGGCTAGAATGATCTGTTTGGTATTTTGAGCAAAACACTTCGTAGACATGTTTTTTATATATTTTTATTAGGGCTGTCAAGTTAACGCCACTAATTATTTTAACGCGATTAACGCATGTGTATTTTTTTTCCTCGGCCGCCCCGTAGTTTCAGAGCGCATCGAGTTTAAAATACCATCTACAAGCTGATGCTGACAGCCTCGCTCCTGCCGCCCGCTTGTGGCAGACCACACTTCCACACTCACCGGCAGGCACCGACTGGCTGTCGGGAGGACCGGGAGGGTGTGTGTGTGTGTGGCCCGAGCGAGCGAGAGAGAGACCTTACGTGCATTGTTGTTGTTAGCATCTGGTGCTAGCTAGCTGCGCTGACGGATATGGAGCTGTTTAAATGAAAACAGAGGAGCGACATTTCGCCACAACTGCGCCGAGCACTTGACTTTATGCAGGAAGCCAGACAGTGGGACATTGAACGAGAAGTCAGCACACTCAGCACGGATAGTGCGCAACACGATTGCAGCGTCCAGGCAGCTCCCGTTCGAGCATATGCCTTGAGTTGCACACAACACACACACACACACACACAACACACACACACACACACACACACACACACACACACACACACACACACACACACAGACACACACACACACACACACACACACACACACACACACACACACACACACACACACAGACACACACACACACACACACACACACACACACACACACACACACACACACACAGACACACACACACACACACACACACACACACACAGGTTGTTGTGTTTAATATTCATGAGAATATTTGTCATTGTTCAAATGATAATAAACATTTGCATAAAGCATATTTGTCCACTCATATGTTGATAAGAGTATTAAAAACTTGAAAAATATTCCTCTAAGGTACATTTAGAACAGATCAAAAATGTGCGATTAATTTGCGATTAATCGCGATTAACTATTTTAATCGACTGACAGCCCTAATTTTTATATATCTGAGACCTGTGCTATTGCCTACAGATAGCATGGTAGGTGACCTTTAAAAAGTGTCATGCAACTTTTATTGACTTATTTTATACACTATTTTTCTTTTACTTCAAGCTCATTTTAGTGAAGGATAATTTGTTGACTTATTTTGTCTATATATGTTCTTTGCTCAAAATACAAAATAATTTCTTAGGCAACTATAAAAGGCTTCTCATGTTAAAAAAATAAAAACTCTAATGTTGTAACAAAATGTTGTAAAAAAATTAAAGCTTCAGTTAACAAAATAAAAGCTCAATGTTAAAACATTTTTAAAAAACATCCATGTTTTAACAAGAAAATATCTATGTTTTAAAAACATAAAAGCTTTCTTTTGTTACCGTAGATTTAGCGAATAAAAGCTCCATATTTGAACCAAATAAAAGCAATGTGTAGAAAATTGAAATGTTTTGACCAAAGAAAAGCTTTTTGGTAACCTTGTTCTAACAAAATAAAAGCTTTCTTTTGTTACCCTTGATTTAGCGAATAAAACCAAACAAAGATGAACTAAATACCCCCCCCCCCCCTCTCCTCACCACAGTTGACGGGCACGGTCCCCGGCGGAGTTCTCGTGTTCGGGATCTCCTCCCCGGTGATCACGTTCACGCACCAGCAGGATCCCGTGGATTTGGCGCATTGCTGCGGCAGGAAGTTCCCGTTGAAGTCGCACGAAGGCATGAAAGCACCGGGGATACCGGGCGGCGTCTGTCTAACGATGTACTCACACAACCCCAAGGTCCGCGTGCTGAGGGAGGTGTTGATCGCCATGGCAACGCTCAGAGACAGGAAACAGGCGAAGGTCAGGGTCACGATGAGTGTCTTCATGGTGACGATGAGCAGGAAGCAGCTGAACAAACTGGAGCAACAATTAATACATCTGACTATAATAAATAACATTTAGAAAAAAACTCCATGTTTTAACCAAATAAATTGAATTAAATTACTTAATGTATCAGCATGGCTTTGCAAAAAGAAATTGCATGATTTAAATCAATTAAAAAGTTTGCTAAAATATTACATTCTAAAATAATAAATCCTGTAAAACATACGACCAATGTTTTGGAAAAAATAAATACATTCTGTAAAATATTCCCCAAAAAATATTCAAAAAATGTGTCTGTTAAAAATAATAATAATAATTCTTAATGATGTAAAAAAATATGATCCTGTTTCTCAAAAATAATACATTCTGTGAAAAACTAAATGATTGTGATCACAAAATAAACACAAATATGAAAAGAGCCCTTGATTACATTGCAGTGAAATAAAACATTAAAATGAATGTAGAGATATAAAGCAAACTTAGGAGAGAAAAATAAATCTGAAAAAATAAAAATATCGAAAGTTTCGCAAAAATAATAAATTGTAAAACATATTCCGTAAAACAAGTGCCTGCAAAAATAATTCATAAAAAAATGAATCAATACAAAAAACCCAATATTTTAATAAGATTGGAAATACAAATTAATAAAAGATTATAATGAATCTGCAACAAATAATGATACATTCTTTAAAATGTATAGAGCCTTTGATCACATTGCAGTTATTTAAAATAAATGTAGAGAAATGAAACACAAAATAATGAATTCTGTACAAAATTAATGAGTGAAAAAGTAATACATACAAAAATATTTAAATAAAAAAATATATATATTTGAATAAGCTTGACAAAAAAAATTCTATAAATAATTATCATTAATGTGCAAACAATTAATAATAAATAGTGTAAAACACAACGTAAATAGAGCCTTTGATCACATTGCATTAAATAGAGGAGCGGATTTGAAGCACACTCACCTGTTCTAGCATCGAGTCTGTGTTTCTGCTCCTTTTTATCCGGCAGCTTTTCTCCGCCTCTCCTGAGTCATTATTTAATTTCCCACGACCTTCCCTGAAGCTTGGAGGTCAGAGGTCGGTGTAACAGAGCTGCAGAGACACGTATCTCTTTAAATGTACCTTTTTATTTTACTATTGTTATCACGCTGAGTTTTGGGTTTCAGCTTTTGTTCCATGTCTTCATTGTTTCTGGAGTCTCAGCTTTCCGTCTCGTCTGGCTTCCAGATGATTCCCTCTCATCTCACACAAAGCTCTCGTATTCTCCTGACCTTGTTTTCTGCAAAGCTGGCACTTTGTTTTGCACAGAAAACCCCTGAGGAAGGCTGGATCATATCATGTTATATCCTCAAAAGAACCTGAGGTGATATTTGTAGGTGTTAAAGCTGAATGGGATCAAAAAACGTACTTAAAGAAATCACCCTGAAACTTCCCCAACTTGTTATTTATATTAAACCTATCATGCAAAATGCACTTTGTGATGTCTTCTCTCCATCAACATGTGTCCCAGGTGTGTCAGAGAACTCACGCAGCGTCAGGAAATAAACCCCTCTCTCTTTTCCTCCGTACCCAAATCTCTAAAAACGGGGAACAACGGAGCTGATCCAGATTTGCGTCCGATATGACGTAATATCTGAAATGTGGACCCACGGCCCAATCAGAAACGTTGCTATCAGAAACAATGCCCGACTAATTTAGACGTAATATGGTCGGTGTTTACATTAGCATCGCTAACACTCAGAGCTAACCTGTACTGGAGAGCATGTGTGTGAAGAAGCAGGAAGTAAAAAGGAACTCACCTTGTGGTATAACCGGCAAGAGAGAAAGCCTTTGAGCTCCAGACTGTTTCAGAGAGAATCCTTGATAATCCATGATATGGCGTTTCATCACGGCAGCATTTAGTTTAGACAGTAGCTGCCGGGTCCCACATGAGCTCAGCCCCCTCCTCTTTAAAGCTTTATCCCCAAATCAGCACTTTAGAAACAGGAAGTGAAATAGAGGGATATGAGGCATGGCTAGAATTATCTGTTTGGTATTTGGAGCAAAACACTTCATAGACATGTCTTTTATATCTTTTAATATATCTGAGACCTGTGCTATTGCCAGGGTTGGGTTGTAACGGAATACATGTAACGGCGTTACGTAATCAGAATACAAAAATCAAGTAACTGTATTCAGCTCGCGTTACATTTGAAAAACGAGTAATCTGATTACAGTTACTTTCGTAAACCTGAAGTGAATACATTTTGGAATACTTATTGGAATTATTGGTGGAAAAATTTCCTCACAACATTTAATATTCATTATTAAAGGTACAGCCGAATCATCACAGCCCACAAAAACTTTTACCGCCGCAGATGGACCAAAAAAGGGAGCGTTTGAAAAAAAAGGGGCGGGTCCGCTCAGTGGAACAATAACAACGAAACATGGAGGAACAAAAGTCTGCGTTTAAGTCGTGTGTGTGTGTAGAGGTGTGTGTGGTTAAAACACATCAGCCTGCGGTCGCTCTTTAGCCTTTCTAATGATTCTGAAGGTAAACACAGCTAAGGCGGTGCGTGAAAGGTGGTGCACGCTCCTCTTCTCAGACCCTCCCGCTGCCTCCTGGTGCTGCAGAGATTTCATGAAGTGAAGGAGGTGTTCCTTCTATAAAACAGCTGTGGGCAGCAGATACTGTGACGGCCCCTACACACGGCGGCGTGCGTTACCGCTTGGCGGTGGGCGTGTCTGAAGCTTGGGGATTTTTTACGAACAACGCGACCAACAACCAATCACATGAATGTCCCGCCCCGGACATACAAAGCAAAGCATTCATGCTACATCCATGCTGGCTAAATATACTGTCTATGCTTGCTAGCTGTCCATTCAAACGAAGTACACTGGATATAAACTCTCCAAACAGGCGAACACCTACCAGTTTCACCCACTGTCTCTGCCACCTCCCCCCATGCCTGGCTCCTCCGGTTTGTATCCCTGTATGTAAAGAGGGACTGGTCATATAGTACCGGGTGATTCCCTAACGCCACGATCTTTTTCTCCTCCATTTTTTGACATATGGGAAATAACTGCGGTCTGGCTCTCCCAACATACACGCGGTTTGATTGGATAGCGCTTGTAATGTCAGATTTGCATATGCGGGATTTGATTGGCTGACGCCTCCGTCGAGGCGGCAAAAGTAGAACATTGCTCTACTTTTGCAGCGAGCACCGCGAGAGAAGCTACGCTTTGCTCCCACAATGCAGTTTGGCGAATCGTGACGTCACCCCATTCAAAGTGAATGGGCAGAAGCGTTGAAGCGGCAACGCACGCCGCCGTGTGTAGGCTCCGTGAGGGTCACAGACATGAATTCATAGATCAAGGCAGACTGGTGCACACACTCTCCTGTTTTGCTAATCCGGTGCTTAAAGAAATATAGCTCTGCACCCCTGGCCGAAATGTCCTTAAAATGAAGTCCGAGTTCGACATTTTAATTCATGTCCTGCCAACACTGGCAGGACAGAAGGCGACACGCCCGTTCTAAGCCGTGTCCTCACTCCTCACATCCCAAGCTGCATCCCCAACAAGTGTATTATGTTGTTACATCGTTTCAGATGTTATGTTTCAGTTGTGCTCTTGATAAGCCATTAAAACAGTAAAAACACGTTCATTTTCCTTTTGCTTTTTGTGTCTCCTGTTCACCAACACATACCATCTGTGATGGAAAAAGAAAGTAATCCAAAAGTACTTACTTACGTTCAGAGCCATGTATTCAGTAATCAGTAACTGATAACAAAGTAACCCTCCCAACCCAGGCTATTGCCTACAAATAGCCTGTTGGTGACCTTTAAGATATCGTTTTTTTGTATTACAAGTTTTTTTTAATCTTGTGTTTGAATATGCAAATGAGGCGTTATGTTAAATATGAGCTAATTTGCATATTATCCGGAACAGAACATTCGAAAATGTCAAGTTCATAATTCTGGTTTCATTTTGTTTAAATATTAGAATCAAAGATCTTTAAAGCCGGAGACTTTAAAGATCAGAACATAATGCCATATCAAATTAAATTAGAGAAATGTATAGAAATAAAAAAACGTATGTTTGGAGGAAAAAAGTCACATTAATTGTGAGTAAAAAAATAACACGTGAAGTCAAATATTTAATAGAAAAAAGTAGTAATATTTCAGGAAGATCATTATATTAATTAATAAGAACAATTGAAATAGTTCCAGAAAAAAAACCCTGTTTAAAAAACAAACACATAACTCAACAAAAAGTTCAGATATTTACACAAAAAAAGGTTTACATTTTCTCATATCAAAACTCTGTGATTATTGTTGTGTTTTTTTTAAGTGTGTTTTTTAAAGAATTTTAATAACATCTAAAGGTCCGGACACCAAATAACGTCCCGACGGACCCGACTGTTGTGTCGCCTCACGTCTCCTGCGTCTTGGCCATGTGTCGCTCTGGAACACACCGCAAAGACTTCAGCCGACGGTCAAGTAGCACGTACGCACTGCACATGCGTGAGTGGCAATAACTCTCCTGACCAGCAGGTGGCGGTAGTGTGTATTCATCATTCAAAACAGCAGGCAACCGGAAGACAGACTGCGTGATATATACAAACAACAAATAGCGTGTACCTTTACATTTTCACTCCATTTTCTTCATTCCAGATCGCCACGATGTAAAATGTATTATTGCGTCCAGGTGAGATAAAAATGAAAAATAATAGCCGTCTGTGTGTGCCTAATCGTTTGTTTGCATACCTCACTTTCGTTTCGCTTCTCATGCACTGATTCGCTAAGCTGAACAGCCAATCAGAGTGATTTATTTTGCCGACAGCCTCCGAAAAGACACTTTGGTGCGGGACACACCAATCTGAGTAGGGCGACAGGACGCTCATCGACGGCCAGACATCTATCGACGGCTGAAATCGGCTTGGTGTGTCCGGGCCTTAAAGTGTTTTGAGTACCATGAAAAGTGCTCTATAAATAACATGTATTATTATTATAATTATTATGAATGAATACAATACAATATGAACATTACGCACAGGTTCATAGGAGAAATCTACAAACAAAAATCAAAGTGAGTAAAATAAACTCGTGGATTTCGAGGTTCTCTTTCCTCCGGTCTGAATGGAAACAATGGCCGCAGCTTATTTATTACATCAGTATCAACACCAGCGAGTAACTGATGCCTGAACATGTGGAATCAAACCTTTACTTAAAAGGACGGGACAGATTAGGTTTAGGGTTTATTATATATTACAGCTTAATGGATGTGGAAGGTCTGTGACCCAGATCGGAACGAAACAAGGCTGTAAACTAAGAATGGCTTTAAATCAACTCGCTGTTTTTAATATGCAGTGGAAAGTAACATTGAGTTTTGTATTTACTCAAGCACTATATTTAAGTACAATTTGGAGGTACTTTACTTGAATATTTCCATGTTATGCTACTTTGTACTACTCCACTCCAGTTCAGAGGTACATGGTGTACTTCTACTCCACTACATGTATTAATACCTTTAGTTACTTCACAGATGTGGATGAATGATGTGAAATATAATCAAGTGTTGAATCAGACTTTAGTTCCACCTGGAGTAAATCCACCAGCTACCCTGCAGTATACAAAGTACTTCAAACTAGCTGCACCTTCACCAGCTTTGAGAACACTTTCATGATCAATCATTATAAAACATATCATATATAGTATTCTGAAATGGACCAATCTGCACAATGAATACTTTTACTGTCGCTACTTTCACTATATTTTGATGAGAATACTTTCCTACTTTCACTTGAGGAACATTTTGAATGCAGGACTTTTACTGTAACAGAGTATTACTACACTCTGGTACTTCTACTTTTACTCAAGTACAAGATCTGAGTACTTCTACTTTTACTCAAGTACAAGATCTGAGTACTTCTACTTTTACTCAAGTACATGATCTGAGTACTTCTACTTTTACTCAAGCACAAGATCTGAGTACTTCTACTTTTACTCGAGTACAAGATCTGAGTACTTCTACTTTTACTCAAGAACAAGATCTGAGTACTTCTACTATTACTCAAGTACCAGATCTGAGTACTTCTACTTTTACTCAAGAACAAGATCTGAGTACTTCTACTTTTACTCAAGAACAAGATCTGAGTACTTCTACTATTACTCAAGTACCAGATCTGAGTACTTCTACCTTTACTCAAGTACAAGATCTGAGTACTTCTACCTTTACTCAAGTACATGATCTGAGTACTTCTACCTTTACTCAAGTACAAGATCTGAGTACTTCTACCTTTACTCAAGTACATGATCTGAGTACTTCTACTTTAGTAGACAGAGGGGTTTTTCAGTGGTGTTTTCTGAAATGCTGTGGTGTTTTGCACTTCAGGGCCACCGTAGGTTAATATACACTAGAACACACAATATTAAATGGAGTTTGGCTTCATCACGTGGTGAAAAAGACGAATGAAATATGATAAAGTTGATTAAACATCAATTTGACCAATTATGTTTTTTGTACAATTGTAAAGATGCACAAATCCCATTAAATCAGAATAACGCGGTTTATTTGCGTCAAACATCGGACACTATTTTGGATTATAACGAAGTCAAATCTGAACACACACACAAGATAGTTATATTTCTATATTCCCATGGACTTAAGCTTTCTGATAATGATGTTAAATCGGGTGAACACCGCGAAAAAGTGACCACAAATCCGCTTAGAAGTCACAGAAAATAGGCGCTCCTCATTCCTGCAGAATTGAAAATCTTCACATTTCTACGTTTTCTTCAGAATTAAATTAATCCAGAGATAAATTAAGATAAATCCAACAGTTCACTGCAAACAAGAGCTCAGTGCGGACGATTCGGCTTACTTTTAAAGGTGCAACTTGTCCAGGAAGTTACCAAAAAGAAGAAACGGGGATCAGGTGCTTCCGGTTTACCTCCAGTGAAAAGACCCGGATGTGGATTTTCTTTTAATGTTTATTTGATACAATAATTTTTTATTATTAACTTAATAAGACAAGGTTAATTTATAAGATAACGTTTTTTTTATTAAATGAAAAACGAATCCATAAAAAATAATAATTGAATGGTTTAAACAACATTTAAAATAATAAAATAAAATAAACACTTTTAACTTAAAGGTGGGGTAGGTAATCTTGAAGAAACCAGCTCGAGTGCGCTAGAATTGAAAATACACAGCCGTAAAAAATGTGCCACTTCCTCACAGAGCCCCTCCTCCAACACACACGAACGTGATCATGACCAATGAGGGCACGAGATAAGTTTGTGCCCAGATGGAAGGCTGACAGGCAGGTAGGCCATCCAGTTACTTTAGCCGGCTCAGATGATTGGTTGTACTTTTTACAGCGCTACGGCTTCCACAGATGACATGTTTTATGGATTTTTTTAAACTAATGTAATGCTTGTTTTGTTGCTTGAGAAGCTTGTGGAAATAGTGTAGGTTTGTTTTAGTACAGTTTTAGGGAAACAAAAGTTAGGGGGGCAGCTGGGGGGGCAAGGCTCTACTGTGGGGGGCAGCTGCCCCCCTTGCCCCCCCGTAGATCCGCCCCTGGTACAGTTTAACCATGTCCTGGATGTAGGAAGGGCCAGATCCATTCGCAGCATGGTAAGCAAGTACCAGTGTCTTGAAGTGGATTCTAGCAGTTACCGGAAGCCAGTGGAGGGAGCGGAGGAGCGGAGTGGTGTGGGAGAATTTAGGAAGGTTGAAGACCAGACGAGCCGCTGCATTCTGGATGAGCTGCAGAGGTCGGATGGCACATGCAGGTAGACCAGCCAGGAGGGAGTTGCAGTAGTCTAGGCGTGAGATGACGAGAGCCTGGACCAGAAGTTGGCTTCAAAGCACTTCAGATATTCATTGCTATCGGGATGTTAAGAGCATTCCATGGAATATAACAACAAGTGTATCTCGAGCCGGTTTCTCAAACGTACCTACCCCACCTTTAAAGTAAAGTGTTCTTTTTAATCAAAGTTAATGATTAAAAAGAACACTTTACTTATTTAAGTAAAATATTTTACTTACTTTATTGAATAAAATTATAGATACAATTAATAATATAAAAGAAAATTAATAAGCAAATTATTTGTATTATTAACTGGATAAAATGTTATTTGACTTAAAATGAGTTTTTCCATATTACCTAAGCTCATATCTGGAGTCCTGTTGAACTTTATCACAATTAATTTGAATAAAATTGATATTTAGGAACACAGCATGTTCGCCTCTGCAGACCATTGACATGCACTAAAACCTACAGAACACACTACAGGAGAGGAAACACCACAGAAGAAGAATAGGGCCTCTTTATTAACTGTCGTCATGCTCCGATGCCTCTTCACTGATGCAGGTTTCCTCCCGAAAGTGTATTTTCATGCTCACTACCTCTTTGTCAGTGAGTTTGACTTCCTCTCTCGTAAAAAAGTAGTTTACCTCCATTTTAATCATTAATGCGGTTCAGGCTCCAGCTCCGCAAAACAAACCAGGTAAGTCTCATGTTTACGATCAAATCCTTGAATGAAATGTGAAATGTACTTTTTGTAATGCCTATGTCCATGTTACGGTCGTCCTTTGCTGATAAGAAGTCATTATTTTGTCTTCACGATGAACTTTCTCTCGACGTGTCAAAGTGTTGCATTGATTAACCTTTTATAGACCTAAATACAAAGTTTGCTCCCCCTGGTTCTGGTGAAGGCAGATGTTAACGCTACAGCTTCAATACATTATTAAATTAATAATATTTTTAAATGTTTTGGGTTGATCCTTGACTTCCTTGACCCAATGTTCAATCGTTTTATTCCATTTCCACATAAAATGGTAAATGTATTCTTATTTTGTATTAATATGATCATAATAAGTTAAATATCTTATTTCGTTCACAGTGTGTGGGCGCTGTATGTAATGCACTGTAGGCCTAGTTCTGTTGTTGCTATCTCATATTTATTATTAATAGTACTACTAAAAACAATTGTAAAAATGGAGTAGAAGATCAAATGTTCCTGTACACATGAAGAAACGTCTTCAGCAACTTGACGACACAAACAGCATTTAGAGAACATTCAGCAACTCGAGGAGACGTGCACTAAAAGGAACAACTCAATGCATCAGTTACTCATTCATTCAAATGCTCGAAAAAACATGAATTTAAAAAGTGATGGAAGGATTTTTCTTTGTTTTGTTTCATCTTCCAAGTTTCATACCATAAGGATTAAGAGCTGTAATGCTGCCGTTACCAGGGGCAACGTAAACTGAAAATATAGAGTTGTATTTCTTGGTGTTTGTGCCTTTTTTGGACGAGTAGAAGATAGGAGACAGAAAAGGGGAAATGACATGTAACAAAGTTCCCAAGGCTTCACTCTAACGGTACAGAGTGTACCTCTCGTAAAGCCGTTGTATTTACATAAAAGCTTTTTCAAAGTCATAATAAAACTTTAAAGAGTTCCTCTTTCTATAAATCACAGTTCCTCCGAGTTTCTTTCAGTTTTGTCACGTTTCCGTCAGACTACACGTACGTAATGGATTACATGTTACAGGATTATCAGGACACCAAAACATAAAGAAGGTAGCTGTATTCCCTAACAGTTACAATCAGATTACAATGTTACAATAGGTTTACAATAAGGATAGATTATAGAGGCGTGCAGGAATGAGTCTTCAAACTGGGAAATGAGTTGGGAAATCCCATTGGACCGGGGAGATGCTGCCTGAGGTTGGTTGACACGTACGAGGAGTTGTAGAAATGTCTCACTAAATCTCTGTAACATCCCGTCATGTCTGCTCAATTGTTTGTCATGTTAATCAGGTTCATGTTATTGTTTCACGTTTAGTTCATAGCCCAGGTTAGATTTATGTTTAGTCAAGTCTTTTTGTTCACCTGTCCAGTCCTGTCATTGCACTTCCTGTTTTATTTTGTACTTACCTCTTGTCTCTAATTTCAGGCCCCCTTACTTCCTCCCTTTGTGTGTCTTCCTGCCATCGTCAGCGTCTGCCCTGCCCCTGATTGTTTCCACCTGTTCCCCCTTACCTCATGTATAAATAGTCCTGTCTCCCTTTGTCCTGTGCCAGTTCGTCCTGTGCCAGTTCGTCCTGTGCCAGTTCGTCCTGTGCCAGTTCGTCCTGTGCCAGTTCGTCCTGTGCCAGTTCGTCCTGTGCCAGTTCGTCCTGTGCCAGTTCGTCCTGTGCCAGTTCGTCCTGTGCCAGTTCGTCCTGTGCCAGTTCGTCCTGTGCCAGTTCGTCTTGTGCCAGTTCGTCTTGTGCCAGTTCGTCTTGTGCCAGTTCGTCCTGTGCCAGTTCGTCCTGTGCCAGTTCGTCCTGTGCCAGTTCGTCTTGTGCCTTGTGCCATTTAGAGAGCCAGTTTGTCTCGCCAAGAGATTAATGTACTTTGTGACCATAGTCAAGTTTATTTAGTTTGTCATTTGTTTTGCTACGTTTTGCCTCTCAGGAGTGATTTTTTGTTTGAACTTTATACTTTTACAAAGTAAAGACTTTTTTTGAACAAACTCTCTTTTGAGTCGTGCGTTTGAGTCCAAGTGTCTGTAAGGTTCCTAACAATCTCATTTAATCAAAAGTATTACTGTAACTTCATTCTCCGTTTATTTCCCACGGTTTGAATTCACATCTAGCCTCTAATTCCCACGTCCTCTGAACAGACAAAAGGCTGCCTCTACAATCACAATCAGAATACCTTTATTAGTCCCACGGAGGGGACATGTGCGTAGGTACAGCAGGAAAAAGAGCCACAGACAGCTTAATGTTATTTATGTTCAATATGTGATATGCATTAAAAAGTACTAAGTTACGATACAATAAAAAATATAATAAAAAATAAAAATGTACGTAATACACATCCTGTAACAGTTCTTAGGATTTAGCAGCCAGGTATATATTACACAGTTATTAACGGCATCTATATATATTGCACATATTGCACAAAGGTGGTTGGTATTTAACAGCAGCAAGTTACACAAAATACACACCTTGTAACATTCTTAGGATTTAGCAGCCAGGTATATACAGTATTACACAGTTATTAATAACCATTGGTTTGTAATTAACATGTATGTGAGTTTCAAACGTCTGGACAAATGTTTTCCTATAATCTATATTTCATAGCTGTATGTACGTTTCAACCGTCTGGTCCACACTTCCTGTCATGTAAATGTGCTTGCTGAGGAACTTCCCCTTCCCTCCTTCTGTAGTGTATAAAGTGTTTTTCTGTTGTATGATGTCAGATCTTGTACGAACTGTTTGGTTTAGAGACAGCTGAAATAGATTAACTTTATTAAACAACAACAATAACGTTGCTTTAAACTTCTATTGTTTGTTCATTTCTTGCCAAACAGGTTGTTTCTGTTTTTGCGTGGAATTCCCTCCACACGAGGAATTTGACTTGATGTCATGGTGCATACATAAAAGTAAATTAAAATTAAATAAAAACACAGATAGAGAACTATTTTGTAAGGGTCCAACACAGAAAAAGGTCATGCTTGCACCCCTTTATTAACCCCTTTATTAACCTCTCTGCAGAATGGAGCTGTTGACCAACCTCTACCTCTTCCTCTCACTCGCCATGTGTCGAGGTCAAAGGTCGTCCTGCGATCGCTGCGACCCTCGACTCGCCTGCGACTGCTCCCACGCAGGATACACGCTTGTTCCCACGGTAACAGACCGCGCCCTGACCCTTGACCTTTCCTTCAACGACATCGCCGTGGTGACCGGCGGCGACCTGACGGGACACGAGAAACTGCGGATTCTGATTCTACACCGTAATGTTGATAAGGGGTTTATTTTGAGCTATTCTAAAAGCATACTTTATTTGTTTTACCTTATTATTTGCCCTTTTTGTTCTTTGTTTGTTTGTTCACCATGTAAAGCGGCCTTATAGAAAAGTAATCTATTATTATTATTATTATTACTAAACCGTGTATACTTATTTCCCAGAGTTAAATGCAAATCCATTTTTATCTTTGTATAATGTCAATTTCTGGATTTTCTTTTTGATATTCTTTCTCTCACTCTTAAAGTAAACCTATATATAAATAACATAATACAATATAGATTGTTCATTTGTTTGTAAGTGGGCAAACTAACTAAATCTGCAAGGGATCAAATACTACTTTTCCTCCATTGTATATATCCCTGCATTTTACTTTCACTATACTCCTTTTTTAGGTTGTATTGTATATATAGCATTGTTGGAGAAGCCTAGGAGATATCTATAGTGTCCGACAGGTGCAAACGCGCTACAAAACACGCCCAGTAGGAGCAATGTGAGAAAGTGTTTGTAGCTGTAGTGCATATAACAATAAAGCCTTTCAATCTTTGATGGGTTTTACAATTTGAGAGCATCAAACCTTGATTTCTGCTTCGTTTTGCGTCCTTGGCAATGACCAATGACCAATGACCAATAACCAATGACCAATGACCAATGACCAATGACCAATGACCAATGACCAATGACCAATACAAAGCCAGGTGTAGTGTTGACCAAAGATCCATGCCTCATTGTGATGTTTGAAGATGGAAATAGTAAAACATCACTTCATGATAACCACTGATAATCAGCGGACCACAGTATGATCCCTGTGGAACTCCGGATTAAGTTTTTGTCCAAATTTCTGATCTTTTTTAAACCTAAATATTGCTTTCCTCCAGGTAACACACTGTCTGAGATCCATCCGTCAGCGTTTGACTCTCTGTGGAGTCTGGAGCAGCTGGATCTGTCCGACAACCAGCTGACTGCCATCAACCGCAGATGGTTCAGTAAGCTAGGAGCTCTGCAGGAACTCAACCTGCTCCACAACCCGTACAGGTAACACGCTCAGGGTTATATTCAGAGATGGCAAAAGTACACACATCCTTTACTCAAGTAGAAGTACAGATACTCGTGTTTAAAAATACTCTGGTAATAGTAGAAGTACTGACTAATCTTCTTTACTCAAGTAAAAGTAAAGAAGTATGGGCTTTGAAATGTACTTCAGTAAAAAGTACCCATAACTTGTTGTCCTGGGGCAAGACACTTCACCCTAATTTGCAGTATTCACTGTTCCATGTCTGATATGGGTAATATGTAATGCAAAGCGCTTTGAGCATTCGGAAAAGTGCTCTAATAAATGTAACCAAACACATATTAAAACTAAAGTAACAAACATGTTTTGAAAATGTAAGGTGTTTGTGTTCAAAATGTAAGAAGTAGAAAGTACAGGTTTTTGAGTTCAACATGTGAGAAGTAGAAAGTACAGGTATTTGAGTTCAACATGTAAGAAGTAGAAAGTACAGGTATTTGAGTTCAACATGTAAGAAGTAGAAAGTACAGGTATTTGTGTTCAACATGTAAGAAGTAGAAAGTACAGGTATTTGGGTTCAACATGTAAGAAGTAGAAAGTACAGGTATTTGAGTTCAACATGTAAGAAGTAGAAAGTACAGGTATTTGGGTTCAACATGTAAGAAGTAGAAAGTACAGGTATTTGAGTTCAACATGTAAGAAGTAGAAAGTACAGGTATTTGAGTTCAACATGTAAGAAGTAGAAAGTACAGGTATTTGAGTTCAACATGTAAGAAGTAGAAAGTACAGGTATTTGGGTTCAACATGTAAGAAGTAGAAAGTACAGGTATTTGAGTTCAACATGTAAGAAGTGGAAAGTACAGGTATTTGTGTTCAACATGTAAGAAGTAGAAAGTACAGGTATTTGAGTTCAACATGTGAGAAGTAGAAAGTACAGGTATTTGTGTTCAAAATGTAAGAAGTAGAAAGTACAGGTATTTGAGATCAACATGTAAGAAGTAGAAAGTACAGGTATTTGGGTTCAACATGTGAGAAGTAGAAAGTACAGGTTTTTGAGTTCAACATGTAAGAAGTAGAAAGTACAGGTATTTGGGTTCAACATGTAAGAAGTAGAAAGTACAGGTATTTGAGTTCAACATGTAAGAAGTGGAAAGTACAGGTATTTGTGTTCAACATGTGAGAAGTAGAAAGTACAGGTTTTTGAGTTCAACATGTAAGAAGTAGAAAGTACAGGTATTTGTGTTCAACATGTGAGAAGTAGAAAGTACAGGTATTTGGGTTCAACATGTAAGAAGTAGAAAGTACAGGTATTTGGGTTCAACATGTAAGAAGTAGAAAGTACAGGTATTTGTGTTCAACATGTGAGAAGTAGAAAGTACAGGTATTTGGGTTCAACATGTAAGAAGTAGAAAGTACAGGTATTTGGGTTCAACATGTAAGAAGTAGAAAGTACAGGTATTTGGGTTCAACATGTAAGAAGTAGAAAGTACAGGTATTTGGGTTCAACATGTAAGAAGTAGAAAGTACAGGTATTTGAGTTCAACATGTAAGAAGTAGAAAGTACAGGTTTTTGAGTTCAACATGTAAGAAGTAGAAAGTACAGGTATTGTGTTCAACATTTAAGAAGTAGAAAGTACAGGTATTTGGGTTCAACATGTAAGAAGTAGAAAGTACAGGTATTTGGGTTCAACATGTAAGAAGTAGAAAGTACAGGTATTTGAGTTCAACATGTAAGAAGTAGAAAGTACAGGTATTTGAGTTCAACATGTAAGAAGTAGAAAGTACAGGTATTTGTGTTCAAAATGTAAGAAGTAGAAAGTACAGGTATTTGTGTTCAACATGTGAGAAGTAGAAAGTACAGGTATTTGAGTTCAACATGTAAGAAGTAGAAAGTACAGGTATTTGAGTTCAACATGTAAGAAGTGGAAAGTACAGGTATTTGAGTTCAACATGTAAGAAGTAGAAAGTACAGGTATTTGTGTTCAACATGTAAGAAGTAGAAAGTACAGGTATTTGTGTTCAACATGTAAGAAGTAGAAAGTACAGGTATTTGTGTTCAACATGTAAGAAGTGGAAAGTACAGGTATTTGAGTTCAACATGTAAGAAGTAGAAAGTACAGGTATTTGAGTTCAACATGTGAGAAGTAGAAAGTACAGGTATTTGTGTTCAACATGTAAGAAGTAGAAAGTACAAGTATTTGAGTTCAACATGTCAGAAGTAGAAAGTACAGGTATTTGGGTTCAACATGTGAGAAGTAGAAAGTACAGGTATTTGTGTTCAACATGTAAGAAGTAGAAAGTACAGGTATTTGTGTTCAACATGTAAGAAGTAGAAAGTACAGGTATTTGGGTTCAACATGTAAGAAGTAGAAAGTACAGGTATTTGAGTTCAACATGTAAGAAGTAGAAAGTACAGGTATTAGGTTCAACATGCAAGAAGTAGAAAGTACAGGTATTTGAGTTCAACATGTAAGAAGTAGAAAGTACAGGTATTTGTGTTCAACATGTAAGAAGTAGAAAGTACAGGTATTTGTGTTCAACATGTAAGAAGTAGAAAGTACAGGTATTTGTGTTCAACATGTAAGAAGTAGAAAGTACAGGTATTTGTGTTCAACATGTAAGAAGTAGAAAGTACAGGTATTTGAGTTCAACATGTCAGAAGTAGAAAGTACAGGTATTTGGGTTCAACATGTAAGAAGTAGAAAGTACAGGTATTTGGGTTCAACATGTAAGAAGTAGAAAGTACAGGTATTTATGTTCAACATGTAAGAAGTAGAAAGTACAGGTATTTGGGTTCAACATGTGAGAAGTAGAAAGTACAGGTTTTTGAGTTCAACATGTAAGAAGTAGAAAGTACAGGTATTTGGGTTCAACATGTAAGAAGTAGAAAGTACAGGTATTTGAGTTCAACATGTAAGAAGTGGAAAGTACAGGTATTTGTGTTCAACATGTAAGAAGTAGAAAGTACAGGTATTTGAGTTCAACATGTAAGAAGTAGAAAGTACAGGTATTTGTGTTCAAAATGTAAGAAGTAGAAAGTACAGGTATTTGTGTTCAACATGTGAGAAGTAGAAAGTACAGGTATTTGAGTTCAACATGTAAGAAGTAGAAAGTACAGGTATTTGGGTTCAACATGTAAGAAGTGGAAAGTACAGGTATTTGTGTTCAACATGTGAGAAGTAGAAAGTACAGGTATTTGGGTTCAACATGTAAGAAGTAGAAAGTACAGGTATTTGGGTTCAACATGTGAGAAGTAGAAAGTACAGGTTTTTGAGTTCAACATGTAAGAAGTAGAAAGTACAGGTATTTGTGTTCAACATGTGAGAAGTAGAAAGTACAGGTATTTGGGTTCAACATGTAAGAAGTAGAAAGTACAGGTATTTGGGTTCAACATGTAAGAAGTAGAAAGTACAGGTATTTGGGTTCAACATGTAAGAAGTAGAAAGTACAGGTATTTGGGTTCAACATGTAAGAAGTAGAAAGTACAGGTATTTGAGTTCAACATGTAAGAAGTAGAAAGTACAGGTTTTTGAGTTCAACATGTGAGAAGTAGAAAGTACAGGTATTTGTGTTCAACATTTAAGAAGTAGAAAGTACAGGTATTTGGGTTCAACATGTAAGAAGTAGAAAGTACAGGTATTTGGGTTCAACATGTAAGAAGTAGAAAGTACAGGTATTTGAGTTCAACATGTAAGAAGTAGAAAGTACAGGTATTTGAGTTCAACATGTAAGAAGTAGAAAGTACAGGTATTTGTGTTCAAAATGTAAGAAGTAGAAAGTACAGGTATTTGTGTTCAACATGTGAGAAGTAGAAAGTACAGGTATTTGAGTTCAACATGTAAGAAGTAGAAAGTACAGGTATTTGAGTTCAACATGTAAGAAGTGGAAAGTACAGGTATTTGAGTTCAACATGTAAGAAGTAAAAAGTACAGGTATTTGTGTTCAACATGTAAGAAGTAGAAAGTACAGGTATTTGTGTTCAACATGTAAGAAGTAGAAAGTACAGGTATTTGTGTTCAACATGTAAGAAGTGGAAAGTACAGGTATTTGAGTTCAACATGTAAGAAGTAGAAAGTACAGGTATTTGAGTTCAACATGTGAGAAGTAGAAAGTACAGGTATTTGTGTTCAACATGTAAGAAGTAGAAAGTACAAGTATTTGAGTTCAACATGTCAGAAGTAGAAAGTACAGGTATTTGGGTTCAACATGTGAGAAGTAGAAAGTACAGGTATTTGTGTTCAACATGTAAGAAGTAGAAAGTACAGGTATTTGTGTTCAACATGTAAGAAGTAGAAAGTACAGGTATTTGGGTTCAACATGTAAGAAGTAGAAAGTACAGGTATTTGAGTTCAACATGTAAGAAGTAGAAAGTACAGGTATTTAGGTTCAACATGCAAGAAGTAGAAAGTACAGGTATTTGAGTTCAACATGTAAGAAGTAGAAAGTACAGGTATTTGTGTTCAACATGTAAGAAGTAGAAAGTACAGGTATTTGTGTTCAACATGTAAGAAGTAGAAAGTACAGGTATTTGTGTTCAACATGTAAGAAGTAGAAAGTACAGGTATTTGTGTTCAACATGTAAGAAGTAGAAAGTACAGGTATTTGGGTTCAACATGTAAGAAGTAGAAAGTACAGGTATTTGAGTTCAACATGAAAGAAGTAGAAAGTACAGGTATTTGAGTTCAACATGTAAGAAGTAGAAAGTACAGGTATTTGAGTTCAACATGTAAGAAGTAGAAAGTACAGGTATTTGAGTTCAACATGTAAGAAGTAGAAAGTACAGGTATTTGAGTTCAACATGTAAGAAGTAAAAGTAAAAAGTTGTCAGAAAAATAAGTAGTGGAGTAAAGTACTGATACCAGAAAAATGTACTTACAGTAACAAAGTATTTGTACTCCACTACTTCCCACCTCTGGTTATAGTTTATTTTATTAGCTGATATTTATATCCAACTTACAATAAATGCAATCAATGTTGACGATACAAATGCAGAATCCAATGCATTAGCTTCAAATGAACCAAGTGCTGGTGCATTAGCTTTAAAAAAAAAAAAAAACGTATGCTATAACTTATTTAGAGATTTAAGGGCCAAGGTGCAGTTGAAACAGGTGGGATTTGAATCCACCTCGGATGATGCCTAGACTTTCCTCAGTCCTGATATCCATAGTAAGCTTGTTCCCCCATTCTGGAGACAGGATAGTAAACAGATGGGTTTTAGTTCTGGGTCTGAGTACAGAACAAGCTCAAATCTCCACAAAGGGTCTACATATTGTGTGTTGTGTGTCCTCCAGCTGCCTGGGATCTCGTCCAGTGTTGCAGAGGCTGGTGAGACTGAGGAGGCTGATGTTCGGAGGTCCTGCTCTGGAGGAACTGAGGAGAAGAGATCTGTCTGGAGTCTCTCAGCTGGAGGAGCTCACTGTGCAGGCAAACAACCTGAGGAGGTAACTCAAATGCTGGAGACACTGAAATGGATAAGTGTCAGACAGACGTCAACTTATACTTTGTTACATTTTGTCAGAAATATTACAGTGACTCACTTACCACATATTATCACAAAGGTGTATAGCGCAGTATGCTCAACATAACTATCAAACACCACATGCAATAGAAGGAAGGTTCGTATTACCCAAATCTAAATCAAATATGAGACAGAAAACAGTCATCTACTGTCAGCTGGAACTCTTTACCGTCCATATCATTCAGGAACATTCTCATGTACAATTCAAAAGGTTGCTAAACATTCATCTCAGTATTATAAAGTACAATTGAACTGTGCCTGTGGCTATGTACTTATTATTATTATATACAATTGTTTGCATTTTTTTGTTTGGCCTTATTATGGTTAAAATTAGATGACCATTTTAGTTTTCACTTCATATAGCATTGTAAATTGCATGAAATGATGAGCTGTTTTGTTTTATGAATGTTTGAGAGAGTGTGTGAGGACCCCAGGAAGAAGGGCCAATGCTCATGCTAGTGCTAATGCTAATGGGGATCCTAACAAAGAACAAACAACAACGAGGTGCGAGACTGAAGCTGTGCTGGTTGTTTTCCAAGAAGTACCAAGAAACACACTGTGACAGAAAGCCATGTGGTTAAGGAATGAGTCCTCAATCACCTCACCTTCTTGTTCTCTGTTGTCCCCTGGTCTGGAAGTCAATGGTTATCTGAATGTGTTTTTGGTTGTTAGCCGGAAATAAGGTCTGTGGTTAAGAGATTTCTATTCTAACCCTAACCCTAATTTCCTTTAATGGGGTTGGTTTGCTAATAATATCTTAAATATTTACCCAAGTTAAAATGTTCTCATGTATAAATGTTGTCTCACTATTTCCAACTCTATGGTCCTGTTTCTCTCCATGTTGAAGGTACGAGTCCGGAGCGCTAGCTGACGTTTGGCCATTGGGTCGAGTCACTTTAAGCCTCCATGGTCCATTTCTAACAAACATAGCTTTAGCTTCGGATGTGATCGGGGACGTGTCCTACCCGGAGACGCCTATTACTCTGAAAGACCTGCATCTGAATCAGTCCGTTCAGCCCTTCAGAGAGATGGCCAGGCGGAGAGTCAGGTCTGTACACAATATGCTTTCCTTTTGTTTCAGTGCTTCTATTTTCCAATGCTGAAGCAACACAAATGTCCCGTAGCCACTCTTAATGGTAGCTCTTCTTCATCAACTGGCATATCATGTAAACTTTAGAAACAAGATGGCTAATCCAAAAGTTAAAATAAACTCTTAAGTCTTGTCTCGTCGTCCAATAAACATTTTCCAGAAAATATGTTGGTGAAAGTAAAAGATGAAACATTTCAGCACTGAAAATACTGGACAAAATCTACAATACTAATTGTAATGCAGCACTCTTTCAATAAGCCACATGCTAACCAATATAAATCACCACATTATCAGACACAAGCGTCTAATTCTCAAATCTACACCAACGAGTGAGTAAACATATTAACTAACACAGGAGTCGAAGGAATTGACTGGGTGAGCGTTTATAACGTTAGATTTATACGATTATTTGCTACAATTAATACCACTCACCTTGCGACAGCGACACCTGGTGGCCCGTCAACACTGCTACAATCGTTGATAATCCTTCACCACATGCTTTAAAGAGCTTGGAAACACTTTAGATCTGCATTTAGGTACAACGAAAGTGCCTCAAAATAATCAATACAAATGTTCATTGTCCAGAATATTAACAGCACAACATATGTAGAATATCACAACATAAGACACGCTAGAAGGATTTATATATTGTGAGATGTAATTCAAGCAAGTAACCCTAACCCCAGAAAATGGTGACCAAACCAAAAACTCACTCTTCTATGATGTCTTTCTTCAGGAGAATTACCTTCTGCAACCTTTCCGTGTCCGATAAGGGCATTGTTGACTTCCTTGAGGCGGTGGATGGCGAGCCGATCACCTCCCTGTTCATGGACGGCGTCACGCTGATCGGCGAGGGCAGGTAGGAAAACAAACATCCATCAGTCTTCTTTCTAGATTGAAAGCCAAGCGAGTATATTTATATAGACCCTTTCAACACAAGGCAATTCAAAGTGCTTTACAACAATGAAAAACATTAAGAAATAGAGCAGCGGAAACACATTATAGACTGGCATTTCAAAACATTCATTAAAAAGCAAAGCTAATAAAACATGAATATCACAGGTACACGAATAAAAGTTACAGTGCAGTTTAAGATATGAATAGCTCAAGTCTTCAGCCTGGGCTGCAGCGGACCGGCAGGTTTCTGGGAGTTTGTTCCAGATATTTGGAGCATAATAACTGAACTTCTCCATGTTTAGTTCTGACTCTGGGGACAGAAAGCTGACCAGTCCCTGAAGACCTGAGAGTTCTGGATGGTTCATCATTTAGCAGGAGATCAGAATAAACCATTCAGTGCTTTATAAACCAGCAGCAGTATGAAGTCGCTGACAGGAAGCCAGTGTAAAGACTTCAGAACTGGACTGATCCACTTTCTTAGTGTTAGTGAGGACTCGAGCAGCGGCGTTCTGAATCAGCTGCAGCTTCCTAATAGAGTTTTAAGTGAGACCTGTGAAGACACCATTACTGTAGTCCAGTCTACTGAAGATAAAAGCAAATCCTGCTGAAAGACTTTTTAAAAACCCTTCAGAGATAGAAAAGCGACAGACTTTTGGATGTAAGCCACAAATGTGCAGGTAATGTGCATACTGTACTGTCACCCATTATTGAGTTTATATTGTAGTTATAAATAAAAGCCGCTTCATATACTAGTGATCAACTGTTGGGTGAATGACTGCTTGATAATGTGTTTTGTTGGTTGGTGTTAGGTGGGAGAAAGCCAGATTGACCGATCATAAAAACATCGATGAGTTCTTCCTACGAAACGTTGTGGTGCTGAACGTCTTTCAGTTCAGCTCGTTGCTGCAGCTGGGGTTTTTGCTGCAGTACCCCAGAAAGGTGTCCATCATAAACTCTCAGGTATCTGTCACATGGGGTCTGAATGTTAAAGGTCACCTATTGTGCAAAATCCACTTCCTCATGTCTCTTCTACATCAACATGTGTCCCCTCTTCTTCATGTCTCTTCTACATCAACATTGTGTCCCCTCTTCTTCATGTCTCTTCTACATCAACACGTGTCCCCTCTTCTTCATGTCTCTTCTACATCAACATGTGTCCCCTCTTCTTCATGTCTCTTCTACATCAACATGTGTCCCCTCTTCTTCATGTCTCTTCTACATCAACATGTGTCCCCTCTTCTTCATGTCTCTTCTACTCAACATGTGTCCCCTCTTCTTCATGTCTCTTCTACATCAACATGTGTCCCCCTCTTCTTCATGTCTCTTCTACATCAACACGTGTCCCCTCTTCTTCATGTCTCTTACTACATCAACATGTGTCCTCCCTCTTCTTCATGTCTCTTCTACATGCAAACATGTGTCCCCTCTTCTTCATGTCTCTTCCCCCCTACATCAACATGTGTCCCCTCTTCTTCATGTCTCTTCTACTCAACATGTGTCCCCATCTTCTTCATGGTCTCTTCTACATCAACAAGTGTCCCCTCTTCTTCATGTCTCTTCTACATCAACATGTGTCCCCTCTTCTTCATGTCTCTTCTACATCAACATGTGTCCCCTCTTCTTCATGTCTCTTCTACATCAACATGTGTCCCCTCTTCTTCATGTCTCTTCTACATCAACACGTGTCCCCTCTTCTTCATGTCTCTTCTACATCAACACGTGTCCCCTCTTCTTCATGTCTCTTCTACATCAACACGTGTCCCCTCTTCTTCATGTCTCTTCTACATCAACATGTGTCCCCTCTTCTTCATGTCTCTTCTACATCAACATGTGTCCCCTCTTCTTCATGTCTCTTCTACATCAACATGTGTCCCCTCTTCTTCATGTCTCTTCTACATCAACATGTCCCCTCTTCTTCATGTCTCTTCTACATCAACACGTGTCCCCTCTTCTTCATGTCTCTTCTACATCAACATGTGTCCCCTCTTCTTCATGTCTCTTCTACATCAACACGTGTCCCCTCTTCTTCATGTCTCTTCTACATCAACACGTGTCCCCTCTTCTTCATGTCTCTTCTACATCAACACGTGTCCCCTCTTCTTCATGTCTCTTCTACATCAACATGTGTCCCCTCTTTTCATGTCTTTCTACATCAACATGTGTCCCCTCTTCTTCATGTCTCTTCTACATCAACATGTGTCCCCTCTTCTTCATGTCTCTTCTACATCAACACGTGTGTCCCCTCTTCTTCATGTCTCTTCTACATCAACATGTGTCCCCTCTTCTTCATGTCTCTTCTACATCAACATGTGTCCCCTCTTCTTCATGTCTCTTCTACATCAACATGTGTCCCCTCTTCTTCATGTCTCTTCTACATCAACATGTGTCCCCTCTTCTTCATGTCTCTTCTACATCAACATGTGTCCCCTCTTCTTCATGTCTCTTTCCATCAACATGTGTCCCCTCTTCTTCATGTCTCTTCTACATCAACATGTGTCCCCTCTTCTTCATGTCTCTTCTACATCAACATGTGTCCCTCTTCTTCATGTCTCTTCTACATCAACATGTGTCCCCTCTTCTTCATGTCTCTTCTACATCAACATGTGTCCCCTCTTCTTCATGTCTCTTCTACATCAACATGTGTCCCCTCTTCTTCATGTCTCTTCTACATCAACATGTGTCCCTCTTCTTCATGTCTCTTCTACATCAACATGTGTCCCCTCTTCTTCATGTCTCTTCTACATCAACATGTGTCCCTCACTTGTTCATGTCTCTTCTACATCAACATGTGTCCCCTCTTCTTCATGTCTCTTCTACATCAACATGTGTCCCCTCTTCTTCATGTCTCTTCTACATCAACATGTGTCCCCTCTTCTTCATGTCTCTTCTACATCAACATGTGTCCCCTCTTCTTCATGTCTCTTCTACATCAACATGTGTCCCCTCTTCCATGTCTCTTCTACATCAACATGTGTCCCCTCTTCTTCATGTCTCTTCTACATCAACATGTGTCCCCTCTTCTTCATGTCTCTTCTACATCAACATGTTCCCCTCTTCTTCATGTCTCTTCTACATCAACATGTGTCCCCTCTTCTTCATGTCTCTTCTACAACATGTGTCCCCTCTTCTTCATGTCTCTTCTACATCAACATGTGTCCCCTCTTCTTCATGTCTCTTCACATCAACATGT